CTGAATCACTATGCTGTATACCAGAAACTAACACAACATTGCAAATAAATTATACTTCAATTTAAAAAACTGAAAAATTAAATAAAAGAGTGTTAACACATCCTGGAATGACTCCTCTGTGTGATGGATGGTCTCCATCCTCGTCATCACCCCAAAAGGAAACCCAGTAACCACTCACTCGGCCATCCCTCCCCACTCCCTGTCCCTCCAGCCCCCAGCAAACACCCATCTGCTTTCCGTCTCTGTGCGTGTGCACACTCTGAACATTTCACACAACATGCAGCCTTCTGTGTCTGGCTTCTTTGCTCAAAACTGGATGGAGACTGCAAGCTTGAAGCTTCGTTCTGCCTAATCCAAAGCCAAACAGTACCCCGGCCCCACTGAAGGGACGAGCCCATCATAAGGGGTACAAGGTGAGAGTGAAAGGCCTGGCAGGAGAGCCACAGGGGCAGGAAGCTCCTGGAGGCCGGGCAGCCTACCTTGGCCATGGCTTCCTCATTGCCCTCCACCATCTTCCGGAGCTTTATCAGGTGCCACAGGTCCCGGGCGGGCTGGCGAGTGCCCTGGCTGGCCTCCAGCAGCTGGGAGGTGGAGGGCATTTCCTGCAGCAGAGCAGGCTGGCCCTCTATGTTGTCCATGCGGCTCACTACGTGGTCGAAGATGTTGCCGAGCCTCTTCAAGGGGTTGAGGATGGGCTGGGCGTCTCCTTCTCGGGGCACGAACATGGCCTGCGAGGTCTGGAGGAAGTCCTCGTCCCCTGAGAGGACCTTCCTGAGCTCGGCCATGTGGATGTGCTCCAGGATGCCCTGGAGCAGGAGGTACAGGGCCTTGAAGTTCACCACCCCGCCCTGTGGGATGGCGATGTTGACCAGCTCAGAGAACGTGAGTGAGAAAGTTGTTTTGTCGGGGTCCTGGGTGTCCTGGGCATCCATGGGGACAAGCAGTGGCTTACAATGGACCTGCAAGCTGCACAGACAGGTCCTCAGGGGCCTGGGGAGCCTGCAAGTCTCGGCAGTCAGGGAGGAAATGGCCTCTGTCCCAGCTGGAGCTCAGGAGGTTCCGGTTGCTAGGACACCAGAGAATGTGGCTAAGCAGGCGTGATTCCAAGAGCCTGGAATGGGCAGAGTAGCTGCTCAGTTAACAGATGAGGACTGTTCCAACAGACTGACAGTCGCCTTTTAATTCAAGTCCTTCGGTTATGTAAGACCAATGACCCTTTCCAAGAAGCATGCAGGGAAGGTTGACAGAGAAGCAGCTCTCTCCCTAGAAGCCTCTACAACCTTAGGACAGAAGACAGAGTTCTTGGAGTTAAGAAACTCCAGGTTCCTGCTCTGAAAGCCCCACAAACCAAGTTTCAGATCAGAAAGGGCAGAATTTCTTCTTGTCTAACCAACAGGGAATTTGTGTTGTAGCAGACACTTGTCGTAGCACCTGTGTAAATACTACACAGACACCACGGGTCCGGTAGACAGTGGTGTCTCTAGAGAAAGACCAGCCTGACTCTGGGGCAGTTTTCATGGCCTGGGTTTGGCAACTGAGGGCCATCAGCAGGATAGTTTTGTTTCTGTTTCTGACAACCGCCCATGTGGCAGTGGCTGATGTCTGCTGTCCAGAGTCTTGAGAGCAGTGACTGCCCCACAAGAGGATCGGACAGCTCGCCTGCACAAAAGAAGGTCCAGCTACGACGGCATCTTCTGTACAACCTCCTGACCCGCTCCCTCTGGCAATGGGGAAGCTCTGGACACCGAGATGAGCGCCCTCCGGGCCGACTCCTCTGCCCTTGGCTAGAAGACGGTGGAGTGTGGAGGAAGAGCAAAAAGTAGCCTGGACAGGGGAGCTGGCCTGGTTAGAGGGGCCTTGGTCCACTCCTGTGAACTCAACCTCACAAAATCTGGACCAACAGGGCTGCTCTGCCCCATGATGGGCTCAGATCAAACAAGACCAGTCGTGATCATGCCTGAGCTGAGACAAGAACAGAACGTGGTCCAAACCACAAACACAGCCACATGGCCCCTGTCCTGGCTGAGCAAGTGACCGCTGCTCCTCGACCAGCTAGACTGTTAGCTTCACTTTGTTCCTCCTGCCTTCGAGATAAGACTGGTTAATAAAAAATAATAAAATAATGCCATTTGCAGCAACATGGATGGCTCTGGCGATTGTCATCCTAAGTGAAGTAAGCCAGAAAGAGAAAGAAAAATACCATATGATATCACTCATATGGGGAATCTTAAAAAAAAAGAAGAAGTTATTTATAAAACAGAAACAGACTCACAGACATAGAAAACAAACTTATGGTTACCAGCAGGGAACAGAGTGGGAAGGGATAAACTGGGAGTTCAAGATTTGCAGATACTGACTGGTATATATAAAATAGACAAACAAGTTTATACTGTATAGCACAGGGAATTAAATTAGAAATCTTGTAGCTAGCTTACAGTGAAAAAGAATATGAAAACGAATATATGTATATTCATGTATGACTGAAGCATTGTGCTGTACACCAGAAATTGACACAACATTGTAAACAGGTCATAGAATTACCTCTGCTTCCTGACAGCACCCAATCCAGGACACTGCTCCCATCACCTAACAAGGGCCCAGATTCTAGAACAAGTCCTACTACTTTAACCCTTTCGTGAGATGCCCCTGGGTTCCCCACTGTCTTGTTAGACTGAAAATGAAAGTGTTGCCTTGACATCTTTGGGTCTCAAAGGCCCCCTTGAGTTCCCCTGCTCTTGTCAGATGTGCTCCCCACCCCAAGCAGGAAGGGCCCCCCACCACTAGTTCCCCAACCCGACAGACCAGCTGCATTCCACCCAGTCCTCAGCCTGAGGGTCTTCAGTTCCCTGCCAGCCTGTGAAATTACTCAGACTAGCCCATCACATCCTCCTGCAGGACTCAGGGAGCACCCACTCCACCCCCATTACCACAAAGCCTGCATCTACAGCCCCTGCAGGTTCACTCTGCTCCCCAGAGCAACCCCAAGTGCCCTCTTTCTCCCACTGCCAGTATACGTGTGGATCTCACCTGTGCAGTGCCAGGTGTGGCACTACTGAGGGCAGGGTCCCTCCCCAACAACAGGAGGTGATCAGAACACTCATGGTGTGTGTTCTCCCTTGTGGCAAAAATCCATAAACCTAATTTTGCTCAAGGACAGCTGGGTTCCTCGTGGTCTTGGCTGGAGGGGCAAGACCTTAGGCAAAATCCAAGGGTCAGCGGTCAGGGTTTTTGGACTTTGGACCTGCAGATGGGGGACCATGGAGCTGAATTATATCAGAACCATAAGCAAGACTTGCCCAGGTGGGCAAGGGAAGGTAAGGAAAGAAAAGGGGAAATGGGCAGTTTTAGTGTAGCAACAAGGCTGGAGAGGTGGGGCCAGACCACACTCCCCACAGGCCTTACAAAAAATGTGAGCAACAGAATCCAAAGCAATTCTCGGACCCTGGGGGCCAGGCTGGCTAAGTGGGTGTAACAACCAAGCAGTTCTTTGCCATCTGGGGGGATAGCCAGCACCTGAAGCCGCTCCTGTGTCTTGGGAGGTCTGCGTCTTAGTAGTCCTGGTGGGCAGGGGTGTTATTAGTCCCCAGCTCACTCTGAAGCCAAGACACGAGCATTTAGGAAGACATGCTGGTAGCCCCCAGGGCCCACAGTGTGTGCTCCTCCAGGATCCAAGGAAGCGAAGCTACTGAATCAGCCCACGTTCCACCTTCAGGGAGGTGGGAACTCACCTCAAACAGCCCAATCTCGTCTCAGGCCTTCAAGATAAGGGCTGCCAGCACACCACAGAGATACTGATATGTTTCCCAGCAGCCGGCACTGGACCTGGCACTGACTCTTCATTCTTTCCTTCCACCAATATTTGCTGAGCACCTATTGTGTGTCAGATGCTGCTTTTAATAACGAAGGGGATCTCAATGAGGTCTGAGGAGGTCTCTGATTTCATGGAGTGTGCAGGCTAGTGGGGGAGACAGACACTTATTTTGCAAGAAAGGACAAAAATAACCTCAGGGAGTGAAAGGAGTTATGAATAAAACTGAACACGACAAAACAAGAGTGGGGGATGGACACAAATAGGCTTGTTGGAGCAGCCAGCCTCCAATGTGTACCCCAAAGATAGCCCCTGGGATTCACACCCTTGTGGCCTCCCCAGCAGTGTACCACCGCACCTGGTCATGGCCCTCCCCGCCTGCACCAACATACACACAGGTGTTCGTTCATTTCACACTAAGGAACAGCAAGATGTGGGAAGGTTGTGCATGCTGCAGGTGATCTGATGCTGCTAAATCAAAACATTTATGATGGAAATGCAAAAAAAAAGTCACCGTGTTAGACTTGAAAGGATCCATAAAGTTTAAAACTCATGTCATCTCAGGTCTGAAAATTAAAACTTGTTATAAAACTGTAAGACCTGGAGACTTGGCCGCTTGTGTGAAAGAGGCCACCCACAGGGTGTTCCCAGCTTCCTGGAGGGTCTGGTGTTCCTGAGGAGGGATTTTGCCCTTAGGTCAGCACACAGCATCTGTGAGCTGGCACCACTCAGCTGTGATGGCAGAACCCTAATTCAGACAATTTCAGGACAAACTTGTCACCGGGACATTCTTTGAATGGCTGTCGGAGCCAGAAGCCAATTAATGTGATTGGAAAGAAGCAATAGTGTTTTTTCCCTTCCCAATAAATTGAGGTCAATGATTAAATCAGTTCTGCACAGTCCCATTCTTCCGCTTCGCCCAGACAAACTGTCTTTCTTGCTGGATAAAGAGCTAAGAATGATGACCAAGTGACCTTTCCTCTCTCGCTCTGGGAAGGACTGAGCGGGGAGGCTAGGGCTGCTGGGGGAGGATTAGAGCTTGTGGTGAACATGTGCACTTCCTGGGTGCCGAGTATCTGGACATTCTGCTTATTTAGGGTGGGGGTGGAGGTGGGGAATTGCACGACAGGTGCAGGTGGCCCACCCCCTACTCAGAAGCTAAAGTTCCAGTTAGACCCCACCCCACCTACCAAGGTCTCCCTTGTGGTTAAATGTGAAAGATCAACAAGGCAACTGCTGTCCCTGGTCCTGAATTTCAAGAGCAATGTTTTAAAAAAAACTTTTCCAATGTAAATCAGCTCTGGACTAACCTGCAGAAAGCTGTGAGGCCCTGGGGGGAGGCATCTGTGTGTGTGTGTTGGGGGGCGGTCTGTGGAACTGCAGTGACTCAGCCACTTACCACGTTCAGTCCTTATCTCACTAGGATGAGGGGCGGATGGAAAGGGAAGGGAGTTTTCAGGACAACTATAGTGCAGTCAAGGGTCCAGCAGCTGGGTCACTGGACAATGCACACTAAACTTCCCAGGCAGGCTGTCTGGGTGGCATCTTGACCAGAACCAGCTTCCTGGTTCCCACTCGAGCTGGGCTCCCCAGCCAGAAACATAGGCTCTGTGAGCAACTGTGACCTTCCAGTCAAGTCCTTTTCTGCTCAGGTAACCAGAGTCAGTTTCTGCTGCTTGTAACCAAGAACTTCCGACTGGTTCAAAGTGTTCATTGATGAGGCTGGCTAAACGTGAGGAAAACACAGATGGAACTCAGTGGGGAGGGGCATCTGGGTGTCCAGGGGAGGCCACAGCCAATCATAACCTGGACTTGCTGGGTCCCCTGATGCCCACCACCCAGGAGGGTGTGTCCAGGTGGGAGTAGGGCAGTAGGTACCCAAATTTCTTCTTGGGGGACAGAAAATATAAGCCTACATTTGCACTGGTACCTGGACAAGACACTGTCCAGCTCACTTAATAAGGCCTCAGACCAGAGGTTTCCAGGGCTTGTGGGACAGGCCCAGGGGTCTCCTAGATGCCTTCCTCCCCCCAGCCACCCACATCACATCCTTCATCAGGCTCTATTGACTTTTCCTCCTTACTATCTCCCAGGTCTATCCTCTCCCCTCCTTGTCCATGGCTA